AGGGCCCCCCTCCATCAAAGCCACGACGCTACCACTGCCCTTGCAATGCCTTCCGACTCCTTCCCCAACCCACCATTGCTCTGACTGACTCAGACACGCTCAGCCACCTCCCAAAAAAACCAAAAAAGCTGAAAAGATGGATCACAGCTGAGCTGAGATATCATAAGCATACGGAGAAAAAAACCCATAAACCTCTAGTGGCTCCTTACTGGTTTTCCTGATGTCCCTATGGACATATAGAAACATAAAGACAACTAAAAGGCTGGAAGCTCTAAGAAGAAATGTTGAGAAGAAGCTGTATCCAGAAGACCGACACATGACTTGATAAGTGTAATAATACTGACGCAGCCACTTGATTTCTGTCCACCGCCAGCAGAAAAATACTCACCCACAAAACTAATATAATTTCTGTACCTAAGCCAAGTTCTTTCAAGATTGCCAGAAGTCAACATAATAAAAAGGAGAAATACTGGGAGCACTTTTAGATGGGCTGTTGCCATTTGAAATACAGTCTCGCTTGGACCTGCCATGAGCAGAGGGAATTTAAAACAATACCACCTGCTGGTAATCTGTCCACTAATTACTCCATTATACCAACTGAAAGAAATCACTAATTTGGTGTAAAGAAGGCCAGTGCCTTTCAGAAGCAAATAGAGCTGCACTAACTTCAGCCTTTCACCATCATTAGCACAGATGCTGAAAAGGATAACCTGCTAGTCAGAGTGGATACAAGGTGTTTTCTTTGTGTTTGCTTGAGAACAGGCAGGAACTGACTATTCTGTCCGTTTTCTAGAGTATCTTCTAAGGTCTGCTCCTAACGAGGTACTAATAACCACTCTCACTGGCAAGAAATTCTTTAAATTGCTATCCCACATCCCTCTCTGCCCTGACAAAAATCAAAGAGTAACAAGATAAACCTGTTTTGCATGACAATACAGAGAGCTTATACTAAAGGATTACTTTTTAGTGGGTTTTAAACTATTGAGTAAATAGAAATGCTGCAGGGCTTTTTGCTTTGTTTTCAGTTTTCTCCTTCCCTGCGACTGTGGCTTTGTTACCTTGGAAACCTCCATGGGCTGGGGCGTGATTGGGTGTGCGGTGACATTACAGACTGTCAACCAAAGAAAGGTGCATGGATGCCTGCGAAACAACAAATATGGAAAATGAGGGGCTATTTAAGTCTTTTTTCTTGATGGCATGAAACGCACAAGTGCTAATCAGAGGCAAGTCAGCAACCAGAGCTGGCTAGCTTAGTCAATGGGAAATTTGAAAATAGTTCCAATTATGTTATTTTTTTTTTCAAGTGACTGCGTAAGAAACAACCTTATGAGATTATTTCTAAAAATGTAGATGGCAGCAGTTTCTTTTGGTTGACATGTAATGAGTATGCTGTAAAAGAGACAAGGTAACCTAGCAGATTTCTCTGGACGTGGGAACCCTTGCTTATTTAATGTGCCACCTGCAGCTGGTTTCCATATGGTGCCCAACTTGTCAAAAATCATTGGAGAACTTTATTGGAAACAAGTTAAATCATATTCTCTATCAAGTGTCAAGTGTAGATTTATAGTATCTTCCTACAGAGCTGAGAAAGCAGAAGTCAGACTGCAGAGAGCAGCTGGGAAGACCAGGGCACGGCCAGCATTCAGCATTGACTGATATAATGTGTGCAATCTGTGAGAGCATTATCTCCTGAAAACCATTTCTGGGAGACCACAAAGACGAGTGAGAACAAACACCACCAATCCCGACTCTCTTGTAAAGCTGCTCTTTCATGGCTGTATGTTATCGCAGATACACCATCGTATTGCCGTACATAGAGAACACCAAATTTCTGCAGATTATCTGTCCAGAGCCTCATGCACTTTACTCATTATCTAAAAGCCTATTATTATTAATCATTTAGAAATTACACTCTTAGCACTCTCTTGCTCCACACCTGCCAATTAAACTGCTTTAACCTCATTAATGGTACCGGTGCTTGGCTTCCATGACATGGAGTAAGTTAACCACTTGATTTATGAATATTAAGAGTACCGATCGGTCTGCTTGATTTTTGGTTTGTTTTTCTCTTGCTCTCCTCTTCAAGGGGGCGCTTGGAGGAAGGCTCCCAGGCAGTTGTGTTTTAAGTGCAGCCAGTCAGCCCCAGAGTTTCTCGCAGACTTAATCCCCATGAGACTTGAAGCCAGTGAGCTTCCTTCTCTTCCATATAAAGTCTTGACACCTCAGGCAATGGGTAAGACTCAGCAGCAACAACATGATGTGTGGGTTGAAAGCAAAGAGCACAGTTTTTGGCCCTGAATGCCCTTATGTGCATCATATTAAGCGGAATTTGAGATGCACACAAAGATGTATTAAAAGGGAAACGGCATCAGGACCCTCTTTGCTGCAGAGGATCAAACCTGTGTAGCGCTCTTGTAAAAAAATCTTTAACTCTTAATACAGCGGGAAACATTTCTGCCTGCTGAAAGAGATGAACATTCTCAAATTGCCAGAAAACAGAGCTTGTCTGTTAAGATCTCCTTTGAGAACCGAAATGAAAAGAACAGAAAAGACAAACAGGAAGAGCTAACAGGTACAAGAACACTTGAAAAGAGAGTGGTCAAACTTCCATACCCACCTCTGCCCCAATCCACCCCCCCTCCCGTCTGTACCAGCCAATGTAAACAGCATTTTCGGGCTGATCAAAAGGCAGCATTTCCTATTGCTACCTCTACTGGGAGCGTATTAACATTTCATGCCTAAAAGCACTCCCCACCACAAAAACACAACAAGCATCAAAGACATTATACAGAAGGGCTGCATATCTAAGCCCCAAGGAAAAACAGGAGGCGCATTTTGTTCACATACTCACATGCACACACAGATTCACAAAAACACTGGAATCTCAATTGAGACCTTCAGGCTTGACTGCCATACACAGTAAATAAATAATATTAATAATAGCCTGAGAAAAAAACCCAAACAACCCCAAATCACTTTCTTCTGTGCTGCACAAACAGCGCATGGAGAAGGCAGTAATGACACCCTGCAAGTAGACTTTTGCGCATTACCAGGAAATACCGCACGGGGCGTTGAAATTAATGTCAAAAGGTGCCCGTGCTAAATTCATGATCATGCTCAGCAAACTGTTTTAATGACAGGTTTAATGCTGGGTTGTTACAGTGACATGACCAAAGCACTATGGGTTTAATCTGGAGGGTAACGCTTGTGCATTGCATAGACAGCAGCTTGGGCTCCACCAAGGAAAGCTGCCTGCGTGATGGGTCGGCCACAGGGCAGCATTGAGCAGCAGGCTGTCCGTGGTAATTAACAGGAGGTGAGAGCTAGGTAGCCAGGAAAAGCAGCTGTAGCTGCAGGTGCAGAAAAGCTACAGATGAAAGCTGTCATCTTCTTTCACTACTTGCTGCTTTTGATTTATTCTTGCTGGAAGGGTCAGGTTTGGAGTGGTTTGGCCCACTGCTCGCTTCTTGCGCTGTCAGTTCAGATTCGTCAGGATTTCAGCTGACAACACATGATTTGAGAGACAGATTTACCTTTCTGGATGTTCACTGAAGTCTGTCTATTCACCCCTGGCCACCGCTGGGCTTTTACAGACCACAAGCACTTTCTTTCTTCTTAAAGGGGACATAAGACACAAGATGGAGCGCTGCCAGGTGGATAATGCCAGCGCACACCCACCCTCCTTGGAGAACAGCGTCCAAAGGTAACCCGAGCAGAAAGCTCCTCTGGAGCCAGACTAAGGCTGCAGTGTTCAAAACCCGAATGCTGGGATCTCGCAGCCACGGCCATGTGCTGCCTGGCAAGTCACTCATCCCCCACTTACTCCCTTTGTAACAGAGGCAGCAGTTATCACCACGCAAGATCACTCTTCTGAATCTCAGTGTTCACTGTAGCTGTCTAAAAAAGGCACTGTGAAAATTTTAAACCACATCCCATACTATAGTGCAACAATCCAACGTGCGTCCTACATTAAACCTCATAAAGATAACTAGCCAGATGGTTATTTTGCCGCATATACGTATTTTCTCAAAAGTGCTCCAGGCTTGCAGCCCACAGGCAGAAGGGGATGCGCAGCTCCTAACCAGAGGTCAGCACGCGGTCTAGACTTATTGCACTTGCCTTTCTACATAACACTGGAAAACTGTGAATAGTTACCAAGCCCAGGTCTGGAATCTGCCCCAGCTGGGTCCTGCTTGTCATTCTTTCCTTTGGCATTTTAATTTTAAGACGGGATGTGAACAGCATGGTGAATTGGACATTTTGAAGTCCCCAAGGTAGACAATGACACCACAGTATAACACAGGTATGGGACTTGCCAGGATTAGGTAGGAAAGTTAACGTCTGCAGCGCAGGGGCAACATTGGGCAAGGCAAAGGGAAACCCCCTACCTCTGACTCTGACACTTCCAAGGGCTTCTCATTCAGGCCCAAGCCCTCGGTCAGCACGGCTCCGTTGTACTTGTTGCAGATATCCTCATCGGAGTAGTGCAGCCCCCCTGGGCTTGGGCGAGGAGGAGACCTAGGAAACAGAAAGGGTGAGCATATGGGATATTGGCATTTCTCCGAAATGACACAATTAAATTGTGCTTAGAAGCCAGCATCACAGCCTTGGGGCAGTGACTTGGGCATTAAAAAGTCCTCCCTAGATCCTCCAGACCATGGTCTCTCCCCTTTGCCTATTTAACAGTTGCCTGAAGCTATAGAAAAAGCCATTTCCAAAAAGAGCAGGGTGTTCCCAGCTGCTCACCTGGTTCCATTCTTCTTTGAGAAGGTGCTCTTGATGTTCAGGTGTCTGCTGTTGAGCTCCAGAGCAGTGAAGCCTCCGTTATCCAGGGTGACCGACTCTTCCACATTGGAGATGGTTTTACCTGGAGCCGGGCAGAGATTCAGCTGAAACAAAGGCACTTTCCCCCCAAAATACAGCTGTAAGAGCAAACTTGTCCTTCTTTGTGTTTTATGGCCTCATTAATTATTTGAAAATCTCTTTACTTTTCTTATTGGCAAATGAGAACAGTCAGGGCGAAGGAGAGGAGCTGATCAGGAATGTGAATGGGCAGAAGGAGCCAAAAGAGGGGAAAGGTGTCATGGATGGATGCATTTCATTCAGAGGTAGGTATTTTAAAAAAGCACAGATGAACTGTGCTCCAAAAGTGCTTATTCTTGTATTTTGACTATAAATAGAAGCCTCGTGACTAATTCAGGGCCACAGAACATGTCCTAAATCAGGTGCTGTGAATCCCATTCATGCTGACTGAGCAAAGCAAGAGAAAGTAGAACTAGGAAAGGCAGGAAAAGAGGAAAAGGAGAAAAAATAAAGGCAAGAAAGAAAGGGTAAGCGGACAGCAAATGGAAAAAAGATGTCAGAGCTGTAATAAGGATAAGATAAAGATGTAAGAAATCACTGGACAATGTAAGGCAAGGGAAAGGACAGGGGCTGGAAGAAGAGGGAAAGTACAATGAAGTCTATTATTTCTTGTGATCAAATATAGCAAGAGCTTATTCTCTCCCATGCTCATTCTTTGTAATCCCAGAGGTGTGAGCTCAGCTCGTGTCCCGGCGAGAAGGGCCCGTTGCATATTGCCACTTTGCAGCAGACAGGTACTTTATCCTCAGCTTCAATTTCAGTGCTACATTAAGACTCAGTGTGAACACTGGTATCTGACAGTGCAGGTCAGACCTGTCTTTTCATGTCTGTCCCCCAAACACAGAGGACAACTAAGAAGATGAGAGACTTCCTATGAGCTATGCATACAAATACGTAATAGTATTAACGTGGTAAAATGCCACAGTATTCGTACATCTTACATCTCATGGGACTGAAATCTGATTTTCTAACACTTGTTAGAATTGAATTATAAAGAAAGAAAAGATCTTCACTTCGGGACTGAATTACTAAATACTGCCTGGAAGACTCCTTCATTACATTAATCCCTAAGAACGGGTAGCGCAAAGACCAGTCCACCTGATCCTTCTCATTAATGTGCCTTTTCTGGCACCTCCTGGCATCAGAGCAATTTCTTGCTGGAGGTGGAGGAGGCTATCAGAGACATGTGAACAACCCTTCCAGGACTTTATCATGTCAGGAGAAGAAAAGGCAAAAACCAATATTCAGAGCTCGAGCACTAGGCATTTTGAAAGGGGACTACTTTAACATTTCTAGTTAACTCCTCATTTCGGAAAAAAGACTGGTAAAAATTGTAACTTGATGCTCATTATGCCTTGAAGTCCAACAGGTCCAGATAACCAGGACAGCTTCTAGATGCTTGGCCCTCAGCCCAGCAACTGCAGCTTGGCTTAGGGAATGAATGAGAGATGCACGGCACTGTATTTAGTATAAAGGAGTTGTGATATAGTCCTCACATAGAGACCTAGAATATTTGCATTGGGTGCAGCTATGGAAAAGCAGAATCTTTCTCCTTCTCCCCATCTATCAGGGAGCTAATACAACAAAGCTAAATGAATTCTCAGCTTATTCATTTCTCCTGTACTTCTGCCAAGCATTTGACCCAGACTCATTGGCTTTTGCTAACAGTCCCTGGGGCTTCCAGATACTGTCCTGTCCAAGCCCATGGCTGGTGAGCATCCAAAACCTGGTAAGATCAGGCACTCTTTGCCCAGTATGCGTATGGGCAAAAGCCCTTTCTACCAAACCAGACAGTAAAAAGATCTGAGTCTTCTGCAAAACAAAATACCAATAAGGAGTCCATGCTGATGAAACCAAGGGTTAAAAGGGAAGACATTTCTAATTCTTGTTATCTTTTGAGAGTGTGTGCATAGCACAGAGCTATTGTCTTACCTGTGCTGCAGTTCTTGTACTTCTTACTCTGACCGTGCAGGACCAATGCAAACACCACCAGGAGGATGAGGATCAGACTTGAGAGAGCCATCACCAGTAGAAACCACCACTCCTCATAGAAAGGGGCTTCTGTTTGTGCTGAAAGAGGAGAAAAATATTCCTCTTTATGCTCCTTCAAAATTTTCTCTTTTTCACCACAGTGAATGATGCATCTATAACAGTGTTCAAGAGAGAGTGGTGTTCAAAGAAGGTAGTGCAGTCTACTCTGCAATTGGACTTTGAAGAGTCCTGCTGGCACTTCTAGACGGCACAGAAAACAGAAGGATATCACAGCCCCAACATCTCCACAAGCATTTTCAACTCACCCAGAGCAGTGCTCCAGCATCCCTTAGCTAAGAAGTGATCAGCAAGTGAAGAGAGGGAAGTTGCTTCCCACAGCTCTGCACACCTACTTTTCTGACTACTGTGGTATGCTTAGTACTCCCTGGGTCAAAGGAACCACTAATGTCTCTCATGACCCATGATTATTTCACTTTTTAAGAGGCTTTCCTAGCCAAAATGCTGTTAAAGTGGCTCTTTGAAAAATATAGCTAATGCCAGGGAACAAAGTACACTTGGTTCAGTGTCTTTCAGTACCTCCATTAACTCAACTTCCAACATTCCCAACTACTCTGTACTGTTTCCCCACCAGCTGAGCCAAGTCTGATGTGCAGCACATCAATTCAGTATCAATTCAGTTCCCTGGATTTTCGGTGGTGTCAAATAATTTAATCCCATTTGACCTCAATTGGAAATGCCAAATGATACTAACATCCCCTTTCTAGAGTTATCTTGCCAGTCTTGGTTTAAAGTAAAGAGTACTGTTATTTTCTTGCAGTGATATTCTTTGTCAACATCCCTCAGTTTTGTGAAAAAATGCTGCCGCAAGCCAGAAGTAGCATATAATTTCTCTGTAGCCTATAATGTAGAAGAATACCTGGTAGGGACAGGTGATGCCAGGAAGCCAACTTCAACCCCTCACTACCACTGAACCCAGGCGCTCTCTTCCCCTGCCTGTCCTAAGCCCTGGATCTAAACACAAGCCTGGCGTACGCCTGGCGCTATGAGCTCCAATTTGTTCCAGATCACTGGGTATTCTGCAGCAGGAGAAACCAGCCACGATCTTTCTTTGCTAGGAGGTGAGGCCAGGCCAATAAAGTCCTAAAGGCAAACAGCAGAAGCCATGCTGGGCTGAACAGATTCAGCGCAATTTATACCTCCCTGTGCTAGCTGAAGTGGCCAGCCTAAAATGCTTTATGCTTTTATGGCTGTGTATCTCGATGGAAACCTCTTACTTTCATGCAGCAATTTGAGATGAACACTGGAGCTTCAAAAGGAGGTGAATTAAATAGTTCTGTTCAAGTGGAGAACTTACAAACAAGGAGTTTATTTATAAGAAGCATCACAAGGAGCTGCATGCTCAGCTTCAGAGGAATAATGTCTTCTAGGAAAGGAAATACTGACATGATTACTGACCCTTTACATTCTGCTATAGCCTCTGTGAAACCACAGTTAGGAAAAACATTGACTCTCGATATTTGAAGTGGGTTGTCTATGGCCTTGTCCTGAAGGAGAGAAGCAAGGGATGCGCTCACGCTGAAATCCATAGACAGCTCTCACGGGCCAAGTGGTTAATTGTGTAAGGACAAACGCAGCCATGATGGCGATAGCAGCATTTACTGCCTTGCCTGCTGGGTAACTGTTGAATGGTGTTTATGCTTTTCACTGGAGGAGCGGAGAGATAAAAGCCACTCCAGATACTGGAGCACTGCCAGGTTCTCAGGACTCTCCAGAATTTTGTATCACAAAGCCGCTTTATCAGGTTCTTTTATTCCCCTCGCTCGTCTTTGCTGACACAGCAAGGGTGAAACCCGTTGCTCAAAAGCAACGTGGAACACAGCTGCATCTGCAAGGGTAAGAGGAGACCGGAGCAAAGCTTTTGTGAGGGCGAGCTCTCCCACTTCACAGCACGCCATTGAACTCGAGCTGCCCAGACGCGGCAAACTGAGTGGAGTTTGTTTTTTGAGTTCCTTCAGAAAACCAGGGTGCCAGGTTGCTCAAAAGGATTTGGGAAGCTTGTTTAGGTCATAGCTCTGTTTATTGGGAATAAGCACAAGAGAACAGGGAGGGTGGGAAGAGTCCGGAGCATCACCAATGAGCTGTTCTGATGAGGGGGGACTGGAGGCACCATGCTGTACTGGAACTGCCAGCACAGAGGATATCAAGAATAATCCTGTGAAACTACACTTTCAAATATTTAAGAGCTAAATACAAAAGAGCACAGAAAATGTTTCTCAGAGAACTGTGGGAATAAAAAGAAAGCAGAGTAAACAAAACAACACACTAGGAGAGGAGGAAAAGAAAATGAATAATAGACTGTGTAAATTAGTCTTAGGGCGAGAGATCTTACATATAAACACTCATAAAATTCCTGGGAAGGTTCTTTGTCAAACTTAAAAATGGCGTGCACACATTTTTCCTCCTGAGAGTAAAGCATACCGTAATAACAAGCCTTGATTCAGCACAACATTACTCTGATGTTGTCCTAAAACAAGTGAAAACAAGCTGCCCTCGATTACTTGTTGCAACTAGAGAATCTGCGTTGTGGGGTTTTTTTCCTTTTCCTCCCTCTCAACCCCAAGAAATTCCTTGGGAAAAGATATTAAGAAAAATCCACGATTACCTGATACTGCCACGGAGGGAACACTTGGTTCTCCATAGCCAAATTCATTGACAGCCACCACGCGAAATTCATAGGTCACTCCCTGTTTGAGTTTGTCCAGGCCAACGGTGTAAGAGGTAGCGCTGCGAGGGATGTCCTTCACAAACATATCCCACAGTCCTTCATCTAGGAGAGCAGCAAGGAGAGAAATGGCATGAATGGTGGGACTTGGCGCTTCCTTCTGCTCATTGAAAAAAATTGTCATTAATTGTGCATTTCAACCACGGGCAGTGGACATGCTTACCTGAAGGCGGCTCAGTGATAGGCACAAATGTCAGAATGCCTCACAAGACCCCATCTGTAAAGGCATTTATTCACAATGGGGGTCTTATAGTAGCCCAGATGGAAGAGGTCTCCTCTAAACCCTGCAGCAGCACCCACAGTGACCTGAGCTGGCCAGAGCAGCTGCCGGGCAGCTGAGTCCCTCCTGAGCAGGTAAGGTCACTGCATCAGCATGCCTGCTATTTGACAGCGCAAGTAAGCCCAAAGCAGCCTGCTACACTAATGAGTCCTAATTGCACACGTTTCGCCTGCTTTTTCCATTGCAAAACTGTCTTCGCTACCCAAAAGTGTATCTGCAAACTAATGTAAGATTTGGGACTTGATGGGAAGTACTGTGGCCTTGCATGAACTGGTGCCTGGTGGACTGGTGTCACTGGAGTGCTGCTTGCTTCACGATATCAATAGTGATGTGTCCTTCGCATCTGCTGGATGCAGCGTGGCACAGCCCACAGAGCAAGACAGCAGGCACTGTGCTTCTGAGCCATCCATTTTTCAACAGTTTTTGTTTGTATTATAAACCTCTCAAAGTTGCTAGAAACACAACGCCATTCTGGTGAGAGGGTTTCAGTAGAACGATCTCTGTTCTCAACAGCCATATACTGACATTGATCCTGATGCGCATCCTGACAGGGCACCGTTCTGGTCCCCGATCCAGCCCGTAATCTTATATTCACTTGACTACAATGGAAAGAACTTTCAACAAGATGGATGCTGTTAGCAGTAAGAACAAAACCAACTATAATTAAAAGTGCCAGTCAATAATTTTGAGTGCAGGAATCAAACATTAATCTAAAGGGACTGCTTTCCAGTAACAAATGGTGCCCAGCACTTCTGCTGACAAAATGAAGTTACTGTCTGTGCATGGGGCCAAAGCCTCAGCTCTCAAACTCTCTCACAAATCCGACCTCACAGGTATCCCATTGGGCTTCTACTTTGAGTTATCAAAGCTGTTCCAGCAATGTCTGTTTTTCTCTGCATGTCCCACAGCAATAGGAATACGACGATAACCTCTGCACAGACACAACTCAGGCGCAGGCGCTGCCTGCTTTGAAAGCAAGCCCTCTGTGTGCACCATGAGATTTGAGCATCAGCATGACTTCTGTAGCTTGAGGTGTTATCGAGGTAACAGTAAAGCTGCAGCCAGCAGCACTACCCTCAGCGCCTTGCTCTGCCACTGCAATGTAAGGCTGGAATCTGTTCTCATTTGCTTTGCATTTACCTGGCTGTAAACTAATTGAAGTCACTGTGGCGATTCAGGAGTTGTGCTGGTCTAACAGAGCAAAATTTGGCCCTTAGCCTGCTTCTGTGCAGCGGGGAATAGCAGCAGAGACGGATTGATTAACACTGCAGGTGCATTTCTATGTGAAGGTTTTAACTTTGGCATCGGTAAATACTGGCTCGGTAATTTGTACTGTGGTGCAGGTCTAGCAACACACACAATGACTAACAAGCCCCAAAATACATCTCTTCTGATCATAAGGATTGGCAGTCTCAGCGGACACAAAAAGCGGGCTGAAATGAATTGTTCCAGCTACATTTGAGAAATACCAGAGAACAATAAAAACAGGTAATTTTTCTGTCATGCTTAAAATTCAGACCAATACATTATTCACCAGCAGGATCAGAGTATAATGAAGTTATCATAATGTACCATTGTTATGTATTAGTCGGATATTACAATGGCTATAAAACAAGAGATAAAATATTGACTTCCCTTTTACAGGGCAATAGAAGGCAAGATTATTTCTACCACGTAAACTTACAATGTAATAAAAAGGGAGCTTGGGATTTAGTTTCTCTGAAGAGGGTGGAGTGAGGGATGCATTTTCAAAGTTAGATTGTTGCAACCACCAATACCAGGAAGATGCATCTCAGACTATAAAATATTGCCATAATTGCTAGAATTGCCTGAGCTTTCATAAACACATTTGTAAACAGCAATAAGAGAATTTGAGCCCATTGTGAATTGTCTGAAAAGCAATTTGTTTGCACTGAAAGCCACTTAAATGGGAGAAGAAAAGGCAACAATAAAACAAATGTTCAGCACTCATTGCAACAAACACAACTGTTCATACATGCACTTTGTCACGCATTTTCTCAAACCTATCAGGATGCACAGTGCAGAATATCCAGCTGACCAAGAAGTGTAAATCTAACCACTCCGTAAAGCTTGCAGTAAGTTCGGAAAACCACCCTTGAGAAGACAACATTGCATTTCCCCATCTCTGTCCCCTTGGCTCTGGTAGCGATGCTGTGGGGCAGCAAAGGCTGCTGGTGGAGGTTTCTCTGGAGGGATTCCTGTCTCACAGGGACTCAGGGATGCTCTGGCTGGTGGCTGTACCTTCTCTGGCCCATCCTGGTTTGATTCATTGAAAAAATCTTTGCCCATTTTTTTTTCTAGGGTAAGAAAGAGGCCTTGGCCAAGATGGGACCCTGTGTGCAATCCTTGGGATCTCAGAGAGGTGCTGATGCAGAGGTCAGAAATGCTTGGAAAGGGGGACATTAGTATGACTGCCCAAATACTGACACCAGGCAAATGCTATGTTGGCTTCTCAAGCTCTGGCCAACAAGGTTTTTAATTCCAGAGCCTCAATTAATTTATCTTATCTCCATCTGGAATATTCAGGCCCCTCTTTGTAGACAGAGGTCACAATCAGATATATCCAAACTAGAAAGCATTTTATCTCAGTGGTGAACTTCAAGATTAAATATTGAACACACACTTGTGCATTCATTCACTGCATCTCTTTTCCCCATCCCTCAAAAGTAGGTTTGCTTTAAATGTTAGAAGTTCAGCTGAAAGAGAATTCATTAGAAGGTCACCTGTGATAGCACAGATTGGCCTTTAAGTTCAGTAGAAAATCATTAGCACGCTGCACACAGTATTTTCCACTCAGTTTAGGGAGGACAGATGCGCATGCCGTGGTTGGGATATCAACTGGGTATTAACTCATAGAAACCGCTGAGAAACGTGAAGTTTGCAACACCAAACTCCCACAAAGAGGTGCAAGGCTCAGCCAGCCCCAGCCGCTCCCGGTTAATGCCTGCGAGAGGCAGCACAGCTGGCAGCAGGGACGCACGTGTTCTGCTCACAAATGCTTTTCCTTCAGTAACATCTGTCCCTTTCTCCATTTCGTACTGCCTTTCACTGGGCACTTGACTTCTTAATAAAGGCCTGAATGTCTGATGGAAAAGGGAGGGCTTTAAAAAAAAATTAATTAGTTTTTCTTTGCTTCCTGTTCCTAGTAATGCTTCTCGACAGACCCTACCCCAGTTTTATTTCCTGCTGGTATGAGATTTGATCTTTATCCCCCAGCCTTGACTTCTCCATCCAATCTGGGACTGTGGCATGTGCGTGGGAAGAAGATCTGAATGACAGGGGAAGGTGAAACCACCTGGGACCTAACATGATGTCCAGCCTGTCCTGGCCACCCTGTGTTGGTGAGGAGCAGCACTGCAGATTGTGGCCATACACAGCACCCACAGGCCAGCCTGGCTTCACAGGCAATTAATCGGGGCCTCCACGCTGAATAAAACTGTCAGTCAGTAACAGAGGCTCCCGGCTCTGCTGACTTGGGCCACTAACGAACAACTGCCACGCTGCAGCTGGGGAGATGGAAAGCTGTCAGTTATTTGGGTCTTAAACGCCAGTCTTCCCCTCTTGGAGTAAGAGGAGAGCCGTGCCATAAAACTTTCTCCTAATTACACATTAGGAGGTTTATGAGGGGAGAAGCTGCTGAGAGTTAAGGACCAGCTGAACACAGGTAGTGTTCCTCCTACAGAGGACAAAATTAAAATGTGGATGTATTTGTGAGAGGCAAAGGGCTGGATTATCATGCAAACTAGGGAAAGGACAAGAATGGGAAGTGAAGGCTGACAAACTGTCAGCCTCGGCATGTCGTTTGTGAGCAGAAGCGAACCAAAGGCCCCATGGCAGATGCCGGCAATGCAGCTGCACCCTTCACTTTGAATTTACTGACTTTTGCTGGTTTGTGTCCATGTTTGACACTGCACTCCCTCATTTGTTTAAAAAATAAACAGAAAAGGAAGAAAACATAAAAGCATTACTCAAGACACCAGAAAGGAAACTGAAGTGAGATCTGCCTTAAGGATATGGGAAACAAAAATCAGCATTTCTGGGATGGACAATCCCCACTTCAAGAAGATGGGTTCCAGATCTAGTAGATCTTCCCCAAAACGTCTGCTGCCTTTATGGAACTGATCATCTGGGGAAGCAAAGGAAAATACTTTCCTCACTTATCTGTGTCCCAAGCCCATGATTTGTGGCTGATCTGAGGCTTACTGGCCTGTTCATGCCAGCCACAGCACTAGAAATATTATTATCAGAACCATGTTAAGATGCAATTCTCTTCCAATGGGCTTAAGTCATCCCCTGCTTAGGGAAAGCAAACAAAGTCCAAAATACATGACAAGGAGAGGAAGCAGAAGAGGAAATCTCCATCAGGTTGGAGGCTTTCCCTGAGGTGACACAAGCCATGAAGCAGATTGACTGAACACTTAATGGCTGACCTGCAGCTGAAGATGGCCACAGCAAGCCAATACATGCATGAGGGCCTCATGCTGGCATTTACGTGTCCATGTGTGCTCCTGGTAGGGTGGATCCCTAGGGCATTTTGCAGAAACACCTCCTTCATATAGAGGGGATAACTGGGCAGGCCATTTGGCATGAGGCTGCTTGGTGATTTACAGGCCACACACCTGTCGTTAAAGCACAGTGTGGAGAGAGGAGTCTTGGATATGGCATGGTGTTAGGAAAAGAGGGGAGAAACCAGTTTCTTCACTGTCAGCACTGGGAACCTTATCATCACTGAGCCATTTCTGTCTTTTCCTCTGCACATAGAAACTGAGGACACGATCTACGATCCATTCCTCAGCCAGCATAGCTGATGTCTAGGGAGCGCTTATGATGGCAGTGATGGAGGCTGCTTAATTGCGTTTCTTGTAATGCAAAAGGAGCTAAACTGGAATCCGTTTCTCCAGGGACAGAGAAGTTGAAGGAAAAGAAAAACTCTTCTTTTTCTCTAATGTCTTCCTCTAGCACAGATCACTCTGGAAAACATATTGGTTTGCCTGCTCCATGCCCACGTCTGAGTATATTCAAAATGCAGGGAAGGTAGTGAGCCTGGTCACCTTCCATAAATCCGGGAGAGAAATGGGGAAATCAAATGAACAATCTCAGCTGCCTGCTGCCACCATTGCTAAACCCAGCGGGGCAGCTGGAGCCCTGGGAGACACAGCAGGGCACTGAAAAATTCAAAGGGAAGTGACAAAAGGGGATAGGGTTTGCCATTTCTGACAGAAAGCCACCCTCCTGCTCTAATGGAAGAGTCTTGGCAGGGAGCTACAGCAGGGAAAATGAGATGATACAGCATTTAACGTTTGGGGTAATGAGGCCTATAATAGATGACACTTGAGATGTGAAACACTAAGGTACTGGTGTTGCATTTAAATATTGGCAACAAGCTAAAGCTTTTCATCTGTCTGTTCAATGCTCCACTTTTGATCTCCGAAGGATGAATATCTTTTTCTTCCTTGATTTCATGTGAAGGGCACAAGTCAACTGCTCTTCTCTTGGACAACAACTCCTTAAAAAAAAAAGGTTGCTCCAATCCACGCTCTACTACCCATATCAATCAACAGGCAGAAGCAAAGTCTTAGACTTATATTAAAACAGAAGCTGCTCTGAATGACCAGCCCTGACAGGAGGAATTAGTTCCCTGCTTTTGTTAAGCTCGTAATTCAGATTTCAAACTCCTCTGTGCAGAGATGAGGAAGAAAAGCAGCAGAGAAAGGAAGCCAATGCTTGGGTGAAATAAGCCAAGGTTCCAATTAGTCAGTCCCCTCTCCTGGATCACATTTCACGCTTCCTACAGCTGCAACTAGAACGAAGGAGGAGAATCCAGCATACAAATGCCTAGTTCATTTGCTACAGCAGCATGAATAGGATTAAAATAATCTGAAGAGGAATTAAATGCCTCAACAGTCAGGTTGCAAGAGCAGGAGAATAAGATCGCTTCTGTGTGTTTCCAGGATCAGTGGAGTGAGGCCAGCAGAAATGACCCTGGGTTAATGCAGCTCAGATCTGCCTTGGAGGGACTATTTTCTTCCAGCTCAAAAAGAGTGGGCCACAAATCCTGCATCCTTAGCCATGAACTGTAAAACGTTCATTCACATCCATTGGCGAGACAAGCCCAGGAACATTGGATGAGTCTGCAATGTAACTACTCAAACAGGTTGAATTTTCAGCTTGGAGATACCCAGTACGTGGGCTGCAGGTTTCCCTCTGAAATACTCTTACCCCAAACCCTGTTTGAGGCTCAAAAGTGAACTTTGATGAACAGTTTTGGTTTAAGTTACTGTCTAAACAATGCTATTCAAATAAGACTGGGTATTTTTTACCCTTTGAAGAAATAAGGGCAGAAATCAATAAACTGATGTAAGAAAATAGAAGCATGGTGGTGTCATGCCTCTAATTAAAAAAATCCCTTGATTGCTCTGAGAAATGCAAGTGCTTTGAGAGGGTACACATTTTCCTTCATTTTGTTTTGAAACAATTGTGAAGTTAAATGACAGAAATTAGGAAGACATTTTAGGGTCACAGCAGAGCCTCATTACAGAGCAAATTTTATCAAATGCAAGTACGGAAATCTGCATCTTCAGTGATGACCACTGAAATACAGACAATAATTTTGTTACTGGTCTGCTTAAATGTAATTTAAATAAGTGGTTTTAAATGCAACCTTACATTAAAGACACATGCATGAAACAGTTAGAATCCTTTATATAATCAAACAAATAAGCATTTATTTAATCAATATATAATCAAGCAATGTGCAAGCACCTAGAAGTAAAAAAAGGAAAGAAGAACAAGGAAGCCAACACGGATATGTCAAGTATAAATCATGTCTAATTTCCTCCTGTGACAGGGTAGCAGACCTTGTCAATAGAGGAGAAAGAGCAGACATCATCTATCCTGACTTCAGCAAAGCTTTTGACATCGTGACATTCAAACACGGCCTACATGAAACAAGTATCTGGTAGATGCATCACCAGCTGGAAAAGTGTACTCTGCAAAGAGTTATCAACATTGGCTGTCAGAGCGGAGGGAAATTATCAAGTGAGATCACACAGGGGGCTGGCAGCATTCGCTGATTTTTGTTAACAACTTGGTTACCAGATAGCAGGCGCTTGCTGAATTTGCAAGGGGTACCAAGCTGGGAGAGGCTGTGAACAGGCTGGAAATGTTTCAAATGACTGTGTCCAACTGGGGAAATATTCTGGAAAAAGCACAGAGCAGCTTCCATAAGATGCAAATCTCAGCATCAAATGAGCTTTGAGAAAGCACCAAGAAAAACCGTGGTGATGAGAGGATTCCTGTCCATGCCCAATGCCCTCCCCGCAGAACAAATGGGGAAAATGACGTGTACAAGGTGCAGAAGTCCTAGCTCTGTTATTAGCAGTAAAACAGGAATTAGCTGCCTTATTCTGCTGCAGAAGAGGACAGATTTCTATCTGTGGTCCTCAAAATACAGTTTGCAAGTACTTACTGGTCCTTGCACATGAAAGATACTGTAAGCATTTAAGCGAGTTTTAATTATTAACTATATTAGCTCATCTGTTGGATGATTTACCAGTGATGTAGCACAGCAAAAGCCAGAGCACTCAGGGTAATTTTCTGTGACTACTCCTAAACAGGAGAAAATGTGCTAAACTGCATAATAAACCAGCAATGGTGTAATACTGGCTGGTGATAGTGTTCTCTCACAAAATCCCATTGCTTTACCGGGACAACAAATCTCTCCACTGCGGGACGAGTTTCAGTGTGGACTGGAGGAAGGGAATGCATGACACCAAGCTCTCTGTGCTTCCCATGGCTTACCTGAGGGTCGTGCCTCTATAATGTACCCAGTTGTGGGTTTTTCTCCTGAATCTCCCTCAGTCCATTGCAGTGTCAGCCCTGAAGCAGATTTTGTCACCAGAATTTCCTGAGGGGAGCCGGGAGACCCTGAAGGATGAAATGAGAATAGCAAATGGTGATACTAGAGACAGAGTACACGGTTCTTTATTTCTTCTACTGATATAGGGGAAAATAATTATCTAGATGATTGATCAACTTATATGCAACATAAACCAGCTCAATGGGCTATTGACCTAAATTTTTCACTAGTTCTAGTACCAGCAGTTACATATCAATGGCTGGGGTTTACAGGCACCTGTGTTAAGAAGGAAAAGGAAAAAAAAAAGCACCATAATTGCAGGGAATTTACCTTGTTAGATTATCTGTTTATCAAAATCACTGAACAAGTAAGAAAACAAACTCTTTGGGTACACACATTGAACCATGCTGGTGTTCAGCCTGTAGCTCCTCTTGACACATCAGGAAATTTGCAGACCTCTCTCTCTGCATAAGCCAAAGTGTCAGGAGAGAATAATTGTAAATTCTTTCTGGCTTTACATCCAGGAACCTCTGCTGATTTCGGCAGAGTTATTCCCGTTCTGACTCCACTGCATAGCGGTACAGCCAGAATTATGCACCTCACTGTCAGGCTGCAGCTTTGAAATCACTGGCTAGCCCATTTGTGTTATGATTTATTCACACTGCTTTGCTTATTCACATCAGACTTCCAGATTTCAGGAAAAAATGAAACATGTTTTTCATGGGCAGTTGCGAAACCCACTGACTCATGTCCTGACCTCCTGTGACTCGACTTCTCCTTGGCTTGGAATTTCGTTTGAAGCCCTGAGTGTGCTATTCCCTGCTGTTGGACCATGCTTGTGTAACTGATCTGGCTGGTGACATGCTTTTATGGTTCCCCTTACCTTCTGCTGGCCCAGCTGTGACGTTGGCTTGCAGTTCAGGTCCATAGGCGATGGTTCGGGCTTGCACTCTGAATAAATAGGTCATGCCCTTGGTGAGATCGCGGACCTTCAACCAGCGCTGCCAGTTCCCTTTAATGTCCACGGTCACCACCTTGCTCACCCCTGGAACAGCCACACAGGTGAAAAAAAAACATGAGAAGGTTGCAATACAAAAAAAGAAATCAAGTGGAGCTTATTACATCTAGATGGTAAGTAAAATTATCTAACAGTTTGCTAAGAAAGTATTTCTTACAATTAGCAGGAGTTTAAGTAGTGATAATAGCCAATTTTCAGCACTGATAAGTATAATTAGAGTTTAAGCTTGATAAGTGGGTACTGACAAGAAAAAAAACCTTACAACACAACTGGGAAATTACCAAGAGACTCCACGCAACTTCACTAATTACACTGGGAAGAAAGGAGGAGGTGAACGAAGAGGACTGCGTGTTGCCGACTGCTTCCTAAGCAAGCATTTCTCTGCGGCAACATTGCCTGGAGGAGGAAATGCGGGCGGGCTCTCTCCTTTCATCTCGTCCTGTCATTGCCACCATTACCAGGTGAATGCAGAATGAAGGATGCGTATCTCACAGGTAACTGGCGAGTATAAATGCCACTGCAATAGGGGATGCAATCAAAGCACCTTTAGCTTGGACAAGGCTGGAGTCATGACTTGTGTTTCACTCCTCTCATTTACTAATAATTTTTCTTACATGGATGAATTAAAATTTGGGCTGTTTACTTCATCAAGGTTCATAGCGAGTTTCACATTTAGATTCTCAATGCTGCATAAAAGGCAGAGCGGCGATGAGCGCTTTGAAAACAAAAAAGTCTAGTTTTCACTGAAGTTTTCTGAAAGACAGTCAATGGAAAGAATTTGATTTATAAAATACTTTACAGAACAGAAAGTTTGAATTTACAGAGTCCTTTTGGCATTTTTCTGGTTCTGTAGATGCACATAACACATTTCAAACCAAGAAGATAGGAAGTGGGAGAACATTTTTCCCACTAGAGAAGGCTGCTTGCTAATTTATCTTTCCAGAAAAATGCAGAAGGAAGATGTTTTTCAATCCAGATGCTTATTTTATGCAAATCAAGATGACTCTTTTGGTTTTTATCAGTTACATAAAGAATAATGTCCAGGCGATTTCTGTTCAAAGTTTTCTCCCAGATACAATTTATAACTGAGGGAATCTTTCCTTGGTTAACGAGGAAGCAGTAAAAGCGCTCTCTCCTTCCCTAGGTGTACTATTTCATTTCTCAGAGACAAATCAGAAAGCATTTGTCATTTTGAAGTTATGTTCCAAAGAAAAGGAACTGTTAAAAAAGGCTCCAGGGCAATTTTGTTGTCTCTTATTGTGTAAAACATAACAGTGTAAAGCTTAAACAATCACAGGTCAAACGGGGAGAAGACTGCGCTAAAGAACAGAGGAGCTGTTGGAAAGTTGTGCAAAATGTGCAGGTTTTAAGCAGTGGCTTATGAGTGGGAAGGCAGGAGGTGCCATGAAGGCAGGGATGTTCAGCCGAAAATTCGGTGTAAAGCTAAAAGATTCAGGAAAAAAGCTCCAGGGGGTTGGCTCTGGCAGCTGCCTGCACCCGGCACCCTTGCCTGCTCCATCTTTGCATGAGTTTGGCTCTACAAATAATGGAGCTCTCTAAATAATGGAGTGTGGCTTTTCCACCAGAGGAAAATGATGGCACTGAGGAAGGGATTAGTTACCACGGCAGGAGGATAAATATGTCTGCTGAAAGAAAAATGTCGGCACAAGAGCAAATGGGTTTACTGGAAAGTAAATTTGGGCAAAAATTTCAGATCGGAGGAAAAGCCCTCCATAACCTCCCTGCTCACATCAGAAACCTTCTACAGGGGAAGGAGAGACGAACTGGAGTCAGGGATAGCACAGGCAGAGGTGGGGAAGAGAAGAAAAGAAAATGAAGATTCTGAAGATGTTGAGTCAAATGCACGCAGAGAAAACATGATCTGACACTTCCATATTTTCAGGGGAAAAATGTATTCTTAAACATTGTGTAGGAATGAATAAAAGGCAGGAAATGCCCAAACAGCCCCAACCTACTGCATACCCCGTGCACATTTCTTAGTCAGAATTAGAAATGCTTTCTGCATTACCTCTTTTTGTTCAGACCTGCCAGCCGTAAAGGCTGAAAGTGCTTTTTTTCTCATGTTTTCATTCCTGAATATAACTTTCTCAGTGCATAAGACATAGATATTCAGACAATATAGATCTTTATTCCTTACAGAAGAAGCAAATACCAATGATTGATATCCTTATTTCTTTAGAAAAGAGTTTAAAATGGATTGGCAATGGCTGAGATTACTCTCCCTGCTGTCACACTGCCAAAGTTGCACAACCTATTGAACTACTGGCGATCTACCAGGAATATAAAAATATTAATAAGACCATCCACAAACAAAAACTTTTTCTAACTCACCTTTGGAACTAATTTACTTTTGTTTTCAGAAGTAATTGTCAAATCCTTCTCTGTTGCTGCTGTGGCAAATTAATGAAACATTTGTGGCCACCACATTGTTGTGGTGTAGCTTAAATCCAGCGCTGGGTTAAAAATGCTGCTCGAAAACTCCGTGTAAACAGACACAACTAAACCTCTATCTCGGTTATCCTCCCCTGTCAAAAGTGGCAGTGGTACCAGTGATGACTAGTACATCTGATGCCTGGGCAATCTTTACGATAACAGAAGTGACACATGATGTGATAAGCAACACAAATGTGTCTGACGACTATTCTGGGATGGAGCCTACTCAGCAATTTCAAAGTGCAACGCGGGGAGACAATCAGGCACTCTCAGGCTGCGTTTCCCCTTCACCCGTACCAGGTAACAATGGCAATAAAATGACTTTTCAAATCACACAGAATAGAGTTTGCGCAACGAAATGAGAGGGGACAGACAAAAGCTATATTCCACTACATTATAGTTTGCTGAGCAGTTTTGGCAAAAGCAGAATTGTTTTACTTACCCTCTGCCACCTGGCTTCCCCTGGAAAACGGCAGAGAGCAAGTAGGAAATTGGGCAGAGATAAAAGATACCACGGTGCTTTTCTGTCATTTCCCCATGAATATGTATGATCAGAGGTCTTTCTTACCCTGGATGGGAGCCAAAGGCTCATAGACTACTCGATAACCCTGCAGGACTCCATTTGCTGCTGTCGGTTCGCCCCAAGACACATTGAGTGTAGTGCAAGTGATTTCGGAGAATGCCAAGAAGCTGGGAGCACTGGGTGCTGAAAGGATTACAAGTAGATTGAATTGCAGCAGGAGCAGTCAATCTGATATACATACATATTATAAAACATTGCTTTATTTGCCCAGCCTAAATCTAAAGGAAACAAGCTGAGAATGGGATTTGTCAATTGTATCCAAATATCCTCTAATCAATCAGAAACCCAGCCTAAGACAAGCAGCTGCAAAGCTGAATCTCAAAAGCAAGCAAGGAGATAGGACACAGGAGGGAAAGACCCTCACAGGGACACTAAGCTGTCCCTTTAGTCTTTATCTAGCTGCTGATTTTCAGAAAGGTAGCAGGATTTTAATGTTTGTTATCCCCTATCATCTTTGGTGGAAATGTGCTGCAGATGCTGAGAGTTCCTCAGAAAAGCAGCTTAAAACACAGGGCTGGAAGACAGAAGGATGTGAGGTGAGCACAGAGCCCAAGCACACACCTCCTCTTCATAGCCACCAACACAGACATTGCTTTCGCCCTGTGCTGGAGCGCTCCCACCACGATCATGTTGAACACAGAGACAGCTCAGTCTGACTGACGGCTTCAAATTAAAAAATACATTTTGTTTTGTTTTGTTTTTTTTTTTTTTAAAGGGAGGAATTATAAAAAGCACAACACTTTTCTCACAGAGCTGTCTGGGGAATTTCCTAGCACTGGAGACAAGTTTCTCCAAATTTTCACGTGGGAAAGCAGAGGCAGAAACAGATGCACAGACAGCTTCTCCCTGGACCAGCTTGTGAAGGAATTGGCCCTTCTGTCAGTCCATTTCTGTGTATGCTATATCGCTCCCTTTCCCTCGTGGTCTACCTACTCGATCTCTTTTTCCCCCCTCCAAGACCATTACAATCTACTGACCGACCCAAAAGTCCAATCTAAACACCAGTGCTCTCCTGGACCCATTTCTCTTTAACGGCTGCCCAGTTACATGCTGGTCATCACCAAATCTGTGCTTTGAGACACAACAAGGGTCCCGTACCCGCCTGGTGCGTCCTGCCCTGCGAGGGGCTGCTCCTGGGGCCATCCCCGGCTGCGTTGAAGGCAGAGATGCAGACCATGTACCGTGTGTGGCTGGTCAGGTTTTTGAGCCGGACGGTTGTCTCTGGGAGGAAAAGCACCTTCATTTTCTCCGTCTCATTTTGGACATCGCTCTCCCAGTAATAAATCTGTTGAGACAATAATGTTTTAGTATATCCTACACCTAGAAAATATCTGGGTACTGCAGCTGTAAAAGATCAGGAAGATGGCGCAGTCTTGCTCTGTACTGCTCTGCTCAATGTGATACTAACACTTTTCACCACGTGCCCAATCTTTTCTCTGCCTTTGGCAAATTCCCACAAGTCCAGTGACCGTACAGCTGAGTATATCACTCAAAAATAGAGCACAGGCTGAAGAATGTGGCCTAATGACAGCAGATATGAGCTGCCAGGGTTCAGTGACGAGAGGTCAGTTTTTAAATTCTCCCTGAAATCCTAGCTGCCTGTCAGCACTGGCATCCTGATATGATGCTCCATAATTCACCTTCACATACATGCAATGGTTTCACCATCTGTGTTCACAGGACAGCTAAGAAAATGCCTTCCTGAAGATGATAGTAAAGACTTTCCTTAAAGTACCTTGAGGTACTTTGCCCCATTCTTCCCTTACATAATTTTTATTGTGATGCCACAAAATTAGGCTTTGGAGAAGTCGTTTCCAAGAGGAAAAGTGGTGCCAGCCCTACTTATTGGACAGGCCTGGCAGCGAGAGCGTTACAACAGCCAAAGCAAGCCAGAAAGTTGAGAGCCTGAGCCAAGACAAGACTCCACCTTGGCTCTGCAAGCCAAGCTGTTAGAGCCATCTATATACATACAAAAGGAAAAGAACATGAATTGATATATAAGGATGCTTGCAATTGCCAAGAAGGGATGCCAGATTATTCACATTGGCTTGTCTTTTCTTCGCTTATGGACCTAAATTCATGGAGAGAGGCAGAGCCAGACACTGAACCCAAGCCAAGCTCCAGTGTTTGTAGACTTGCCCATTGCCACTCTCTGAGGGTCCATTCTCATGCTGGAGAAGCTAAACAACATGCCTCTGCAACGTGCTCATCTCCTGTGAACCAAATGCAATTAATACTATGATTTAATTTTGTTAAAGTGAAGGAAATTAAATAATTCTTCCGAAATCTGACTGGGCTCAGGCTCCTAGCTCAGAGAAAGTTCTGCCTTTCCTAATGGCTTGTAACATTTGATGGATAGAAAGCTCAGTTAATTTTCTTGAATACCTATCTTGCCCCTAGCTCTTGTGTGTCTGTTGCTTCTTGGAGCAGATATGTTGCCTGCATAAGTGGAGCTGCCTCCTTATCTGCATACCCTGTTTCCCTATGCTCTCCTTTTCCACAAATAGCAACATGCTTTTCATTTCCTCCCCCCGCCCCAATCTCATTCTCTTTCTTGTGATTTTTGGGACTTAGTCCATTTCTGTACTGCAGTCTGAATGCTGTTTTAATTTGCCTGATGCAATGAGGTCAACTGCAGTTTATAGAGCTATCTCACAAGTAATAGCAGCACCAAACAAGATAAATGAAACCAGTAAAAATGGGAGGATTGCCTTGTAGCCTTGGATGTTCCCATTTTGGCTGTCGGCAGGAGGAGGGTCCCAGGTGAGCTCCAGCTGGCTTGCAGAAAGGGAGTTGACTTGGATGTTCTGTGGGGCCTGCGCTGGTGCTGGAGAGAGAGGAAGACAGAAGAATTAACAGTGACAAACAGGACTGGTTCAGATCCAGGTTACAATTTTCCATTTGCAGATCGACCCAGGACTGGGTCAGCTACCAGAGCTGGCCCTGGAGAGATCTGTATCACAGGGAAGTCTCGGCAGCAGGTCCTTATAACAGCCTGTTTGCAAGGCTCTGAGACTGCCTAAACATATAAAGAAGTAAAAAATACACAGTAAAAAATATTACCTAAAATTACCTTAAAAACCAGTCAGATGCTAATCAGGTCAACTAGTATTTTATGTACTTTTGCTGTACGTATGACTTTCAGTTCGCTACTTGTTAGCCTTGCTCTGATTATACCTTCACATATAAATGCTGGATCTCTTTGGCTCCCGATGGCATTTCTTCTTCGCATTGTGCTGTGCTAGAAAACTAATCTGTGAGTGCACCTGGGTCACCGCATCCTTCCCTTTGTCCGGATCCAAGACGGTGCAGGTGGATTTTCTTCCCCAGCGGCTAGCGAGGGCGGTCTGGTTTCCAGCCCTGCTGTCTCTGCCTCCGGCAGGCCTGACCAAAGCAGCACATGTTCTGCTTACAGAAAAGGTGCCCGAGCGCGTCCTGTTCAAGCCCCAGAATTAGGGAGAGAAAGGCAGGGCAAAGGGTACGTGTCCCCTTTCTCTGTGTTCACGGTGCCGCAGCCTTCACCTTGCCCACCTGAGAAAGCTGCTTCTCCTCTCTCTGCCCCTTTATGGGCCATAAATAGAAGTGATAAAACATTCACCACTCGAGTTGGATGGCCCCGGTTATCTGTGCCTCTGGAGACTTCTTTCTTTAGAAAGAATGACCTTCATAAGTCACACTTTTCTACCAATACTCCCTCCCCCCCGAGTTATAAAATAAAATAGTAATTAACACCCACTCAGCCTGACACCAACTATTTATTTTGTTCTAACTGTGTGGTTTCCATATTATCACTGCCCACCCTGCCGTTAATGGAAATGTTAATAACCAGCGCCAGGTTGTTGTGACAGATGCTTGGGCTCATTATCAGAAATTCTTATTTACCGCTCCATTAAACGACAGAATCGCACAAAAAAACAATTCAATCAAAACTAACTGGAGGAATTTTAACAGCCACATTAATAATCCAAAACATAAATAAAGTTAATGTCTTTTGCATGTTTGCCATAGGCAACTCTATTGCAAAATTATTGCTGTACAATTAAAACGTGAAAGGCAAAATTGAAAATAGCCTTTATCCCCCTGGTTAGTTAAAACTATTTGTTTATTCTAGGTTTTTTGTTTCCTTTTTTGTCTGGATGTAGCGAATGCACGAGGTGACAATGACCATCAGTAAAATGCAGCTTGTTCACAGGGGTGTGCTCGTCTAATTGCGGCTCTGTCTTCTCCTCTTTGCTGGCTGCGTTCAGTGCAGTGAAGTGCTGTTGTGTCAAGGACCGAAAATCTCAACATTTTGAGACTTTCACACGCACTTCAGAGCGTGAGGCCAAACCGATCACACAGTACAAACCTGAAAATACATCTCAGAGATTTGCAGATGATGGCAGGCTCAGAGAAACAGGAATATGTACCATCACAGAAGAAATAAGACCACTTTAGCAATGTACTTTCTTTCTAGGAAGTGACACTACTGTCTGTCCTGAGCTGACAGCTTCAAAGTGCTCCCAATACCCAGGTCTGAAGCAGCACCTACATTAGCATTTTTCTTTGGAACCCATGTACCAGCCTGCAACAATTCCTGCTTCCAAGACGCGACCATTAGAAGAGCTGGAGTGCACAGCTTGCTGCCAAAAAAACACTGCTTCTGCTCAAACCCTTTTTGGAGCATGTCTAAGAAACAGCGGTTAAAAAGTGCCAGTGATCATTCTCCACTGACACTGCTGGAGCTGCACTTTTGCTGGTACGGCGGAGAAAAATTTGATGGCAGAAAGGAAAAAAGACAACGTGGAAAAAGACATTTCTCTTTGGTACCCCAGAGCCTTGACGAGATGCAAATTGTTTGGTTTTGTGCCCTGTGAGTCTGCCCCTCTGTTCAACTTTCAAAGGCTGATGTGTCCCTCCTCTTCCAAGCATACATTTCTTGTTGACAGGAAGGGACAGCAGAAAAGTGCTGCTGACGCGTGATGTGGCTCTGCACAGACAGCGCGTTACGTTCAGGGTGAAATGAAATACTTCAAAAAGAAGGAAACACACCCCTAAAGACTCTACCTGTTTGAAACCCCAAACCACTCGCTGAATGTATGGACAGCCTGTGCCAAGAAAACCAAGTGCATTTTAAAGGTGAATTCAAAAGCCTTTTACCTTCTAGGAATGCAGTTCAAGACTACTGAGCTCTGAATTTTTCCATGGCTGTTGAAACTACGAATACATAAAAAGCAAGGTTAAAGCTGCATACCTCACACTGCTTTAGGTGTCAGTGACACTATCAACTATAGCAGGAGTGACACAGACCCCTGAGGGTCCAAACTCAGCTCTTGGCAGGTGGAAAGCATTTCACTTTCCCTGAAAAAATAATAATAAAAAAGTATGTATTCATGAGGTCTAATTCTGTGCACAAAAGCATTTCACTTTCCCTGAAAAAATAATAAAAAAAAAGTATGTATTCATGAGGTCTAATCTGTGCACGTATCCTGCCTTGGAAACTCACACAGATATTTGTAAACATTTCTTTTCTTATCTGATTTCACTTCACCTTTGAGACTGTCTTCTGGAAAGTCTCAGCCAAAAAATAAGGAGAAAGGCTGAGCTGGTTGTACAGTAATTAGTAAAAAAACCACCATCATCTATGGACTGGGATGATGCTGGCAGGAGCACGTAAAGACAACAAATCTATCTGGAAATGCAGTAAGAGAGTCACAATGAACAAAATTACACATCTAAATCCACTTTTAAACATATCACTGCCCTCACTTTCCAGCCATACTGAACAGCCTCTGCCCACACTGGAGTCAACTTGAGCTTGCATATGCTTATCACCTTTCAAGAGAAGATGCTTAAAATCCCTTTCTGCCCACACTGGAGTCAACTTGAGCTTGCAAATGCTTATCACCTTTGAAGAGAAGATGCTTAAAATCCCCCGTGGGCTGCCCACCCTGAGCTCCATGTGTTGCAGAAGTTTCACCTTAGTTTTTCTCACTGCTTGGGATATTTGCTCTCCGGGCTGTGCGGCACCAAGAGCTTTTCATCAATATAAAACTGCTGTTCCTTTTCTTAGTGACAGTTGCCACGATGGGCTGCAGGTAGGCTACAAATCCTCGTGATTCATTGGGTAAACTTAATAACCGTTTTTACGAAGCATTTCTTGCTGCTCTTACATCTGCTCCATGTTCTGGGTAGCAAAGGATTTCTCCTCTACTGATTTTCTAATTGTTTCTATAACACCAGTATTATGTCAGGAAACGCACAGACAAGTTTGGGACAAGACTCCCTGACACTCATGCCATTTAAATAAACATGCAGGCAGAAAATGAGGAGGAAAATGCAGTGAAATAGACTGAAGATTTGCTGTGCATCAGCTTGATCCCGCAGCTCCAAACAATCCCAAGCAAATTTCAGTTTTGTAAAGACCTCTGATCCTTTTCTATCTAGCAAGCACTTTCCCCCAGTTCATCAAAGCGTGCTTTTGTGAACATGCCTGCCTTTTATTCCCTAGTAATCAATATATTTGCATTTTGGTGTTAGCACCTAGAGGCCAGAATCTCATTGCACAATGTGTTGCATAAACACCGAACAAAGATACAGCTCCAGGCCTAAAAAAGCCTCTAATCTGTGTGTCTCCACATTGTAATGGAGGGGTCCTGCTATCAGCTGTAATCTCACCTACATAGTGAGTAACAAGGAGAGAGAAGAGACAGCAATACTCGATGTAGCATGCGCTGACAATTAAAGCACCTCCGAAGCCTGCACACTGGTTGCTGGCACACGTGGCCATGGAAAGCGGAGCTGGAATGGATTTGGAGAGGGCTCAGCCAAGCCATCCCCTCACACCACACCGGGATCAGCTCCGCTGCTCAGATGTTTGTGCAATAATCTTGATCGCTGTCCTCTTTCCAGTTTCCCCCACCATCGCCACACAAACTCTGTCAGCATACCCCTGTTCTAATAACACCTAAAAAACCTCTCAGGTTGCTTTTAATTATTCTTTTAAATGTCTAGCCTACACCATCCTCGCCGTATTGAAGTTCTGTCCCTGCAGCAGCACGGAGAACAGATTGCTTCTTCTCCCATTGCAGCCGCTGCCCTCAAGTTATGGCGTAGATAAGCAACAGTTAAGTGGATTATAAAAGCCAAACACAACAAAACAAACAGAAGGTCATGAGATAAAACAGCCAGGCTGATCTGCAGAATGGGCAAAAGCGAAAAGCAAGGGGTTTTCTTGCAGTGTGGGCTTAGAGAAAGCACACAAGGATTGTACCTCCCAAGAAAGAACAAAACGGTGTCTCTGCAGGTGTTTGCAGTCGCTCCTTCCACGGAGGGAAAGCAGAGAAAAATGTTCAGCGTTTATTGCCCATTTTCCTGCAAAAGAGAGGTGGGAACGAGGAGCGCTCCCCCTGTGCAACAGCACCTCCGTGCCATCAGGAATGCTGTATGAGCGATGCTGATTAGTTCAATAACAATTAGTTAATTGTGCTTCAAAACCAGCTACTGCGAAGCTGCTTTCCGCTGTGACAAAGCGGCACAAGCTATATTTAGAATGGAAAAAGACGCTTCCCACCAATTTCTGGCTGTTTTAAGCTCAGCTACATTTCTGTGATGGAAGTATGTGCTTTTCCCAAGGACTGCACTTTGTGGGGTTGCTCAGATGTATTTCAGATGCAATAAGACAGGCAGACCCATATACAAAGGATGTGGGTCTTAACCCCTCCAACGTGACTCCATTTGCTATCCTTGGACCCGAGTGCTCCTACGCTTTTATTCAGACACGACAATTTGGCACCAAAACCTAGTGCTCTGCCAGTTATTAACTCTGCCAGGTTTGTGTCACCGTGC